AAAAAAAAAGAAAAAAAAGGAAAATCATGCTTAGCTGCAGGAAAGTAAAGTGCGTGCCTGACGGCAGGGGGTCAACGTCGCCAGAGGAGGGGGCCAAGGCGGCCTATCACGTAGCGCCGTCCGTATGAGCATGCATCAGCCTCAAACGCGGGACTCTGGCTATCTTGAGAGGTTCCAGATCTGCTCGAGCCCCCTGCACATGCTCAAACCATGGCAACGAGTATTTCCGCGCCTGCTCAAACTCCTTTGTTCCCATGTGTGCCGACACGGGAGCAATGGAGTGGCGTACTGACTGACTGCGAGGGCATCGAAGCAGGCTTACTGCGCTCGATTACGCTCAAGCGGCTTGAAGGGCTTGTGTGCGTAAAGTTCATCTCTTCAATGCACAGATCGCCTGATTGAAGAATTCGAAGACTGCACCGGGGAGCCTCTGGAGCAGAAAGTGCGAAGGAGCTCTCCTCTTCTCTGCTACGCTGTGCCTTGCTGAGCTGCTGGCTCGCCTTTGTCCTTCCTTGGGGTGTGCCTGAACTATCGAAGTCATCAAAAACGACGCTCTCCAACGGCAGCTTGATCGCCAAATGCCTTTAATACCGCCCCATCCCATCAGCAACGTCGTCCTTTCTTGCACTCACCTCATCCCCCATCCCCTTCGTCTATTCTCTCCACCCTGCTGTGCATCGACCTCCTTGGTCAGCATCTATCTTCTCCGTCTTTCTATCAGGAGAGAAGCCCTCAAGCACCCCACGGCGGCTCCTCGGAGCTCTGCAGCTTCAGCTTTAAATCCACGCTTCGGCCGTCTGCAATTCGACGCGACCTAGATCAGCAAAATCGTCAAAATGCTCGGGTTTTTGCGCAAGACAGGACGCAAGCTTTCGGAGTCCGCACCTTCCATGACGGAAGATGGCAAGTCCCTGGGTTCAGACTACAACGAGAAGGATCATTCCGGAATGTCCATCAGCAGCAGCAACCCCGCTGCCAAGGACGAGAACTGGATCGATGCTCGCGATGGCTATCGCGTCATGGCATCGCACCTCTGGAAGTCGTGCAGCAAGCGCAACTTCTTCTCTGAAAATCCGGAGGTCGCCAGCGGTGTCGCCATCCGATTCGCAAAGGGGCAGTACGTGGTCTGCCCCGCTCAAGACGAGAGGCTGGCCCACTTCTGCCGCTCGGTGGCGATCCTCAACTGTGAAGCGGCGATGACGATCACCTCTCCTGTCGTTTCGGCCATCAACACGCGCCTTGCTCCTGGCACCATGCAGATCCCCATCACGCCTTCACAGCACGTCCAGGTGGTCGACACCATGGAACAGCTCGCCGGTGCGAGGAAAGCGCAGAACGCCTGCTTCATCCGACGCGAAAACACCGTCGTCATCTGGTGCGACAACGTCGAGCAAATCGAAGAGCAGGCTCAAGACCTCGAGCAGAAGATGATCATGTTCATTTGGAGGAGCTCCTACTCCAACAACACCAGCAACATCATCGCTTCGGCCACTTCGGCAAGCATCGTGGACGCGTCAATGAGCCAGTTCAACCAGAACCAAGCCAAGTTTCGCTCGCAGTCTGGCACCGGCCACGCTACACCCATCTACGGTGCCAAGGCAGGCTCCGACTCTGATTCGTTCGCAGCGTCGAACCCGTTTTCGGGCACAGGCTCGCCGGACGACCTTTCGCGACCCTCCTCGTTCCATGATGAGGAGAAAGGCGACCCGGAGAAGCAAGGAGCCTCTATTACCGA